ACTGCGAACTGGAAAAGATCTGCAGCTCACATAGTAGGAATGAGGGCACATCAGCGGTTTACGTGCAAGGACAGGAGTCTGCAGACAAAATCTGCAGGCTGTCAACACGGAAGGAGAGAAAGGGCTTCCTCTTCCATTTCCTCCCGTGGGATCTCTTCGGCTCACTTGGATATATTTACTCTAGAAGGAGGAAGTACTGGTACTCAGGAAATAAATAGCTGTGTGGATTCCCTTCAGAAAATGCGAGGAACACAAAGTTGATGGTCACGACTCCCCCGCCAGGGTGGCAAATGCCACGTCCCCTCCACCCTTCTGGCTCTCTCCTATTTTTTCCAGGCCTGCGCACCATCCATGCCACCAGGCCGGGCATCCAAAGTGGATGCTCTTGGAAAGCCTGGCAGCCCTTGTGCCCCCTGATGCTTGCATTTCCCCGTCCTGCACACTTTCCACATCTTCAGTGAAGAAAGGGAGCCAGGAAGCAATGTGAGAACTGAGCACGAGACCTGGTTACAACACGCTCTGGGTAAGAGCACCCGGAGGCCTGGTTGCCTGTTCTTTGGCAACACGGGGGCTCTGGAAAAGTCCTGGAGCCCTGTTTCAGTGGAAACTGAAATTAAAATAAGTCAGAGGATCCTCAAGAAAAAAGGGATAAAATCATGCATCTATGTGTAAGGGTATGGATACAGACATAGACGTAGATCCATGTTAAGCGCATGTATAAATAATCCCTATGCAGATGACCAAGCACTCACAGAGACCTTTATTCAGGGCTTCTGTGAATATGCGAACCAGTTATTCAACCAAAAAGCAATCGGATGGTGTAAAGACATAAAAATGAGCACAGAAAAACACACTGGGGTAAATTCTACTTCCTGACATTTTTATTGACAAAGGGCCAGTAGTCTATTGAACACTGGCAATAAGAAGCTTCAAATATATTCAGCATTAACGAAAGATAAATCCTAGGTTAGTGCCAAGACCGGAGCCACTCACTGTGAGGCCCTTCTGCCAGCTTCAAAGCTAGACAAAGACACATATTCTAAGGCCATACATTCAAAAGCAGAGAGGCAGAAATTGAAGAAGCTCGTGTGCAAAATGGAAAGCCATAGTGAAGCCTCCACACTTAAACAACAATAATTGTTTAACACAGAGTGTGAAGGGGCACCTGGGTGGCTCAGTCAATTAAGCGTCTGACTCTTGATTTCGGCTCAGGTCTTGATCTCACAGTTCGTGAGTTTGAGCCCCACATAGGGCTCTGTCCTGACAGCAGGTAATCTGCTTGGGATTGTCTCTGCCTCTCTCTCTGCTCCTCCCCTGCTCACTCTCTTGCTCTCTCTCTCAAAATAAATAAACTTAAATAAAACAGTGTGTGAAAACCCACAAATCCTAAGAGAAAACCTAGCAAAGTAACCTCCTGTTTGGGGCCATTACTTATCTGGAACCATCAAGTAAAGGAGGGGGTGGGGAGGGAGGGACTTTGACCCCTTAAAAACTCAGAAAAGCTCTGAAATTTCTCTTTAACCATTCACATATGAGCGATCCTCCAAATATTAACTGTTTTCCAAATACTAAACTAAAGTGAATGAAGTTAACAATTCTCTGTGATCATTCATTCAGTCAATTAATACTTATTGAGTGCCAATCTGGATGATGGACAAGACCACTACAAGCCGTGTAGAGCTCACAGTTAGGACTCCATGGGCAAGACAGCCCCCATCAGCCTTTGGTTGCAGTGAATGGACAGAACAGAGAATTAACCCTAGGAAGCTTCCAAGTCACATAAACCCACCTCCGGAGAACATGCCACCACTCACTGGTTATATTCTAAAATCTAGATTGAACTCCTAGGTTTGTTATTTAGAGATCACCTTCCCGTGGAAGCAATGCCATCAATAACACTTGGGTCCTCAGGTCAATCCAGAGTTTGGGTTTCCCTGTATTCTGCTGCATTGTGATTTAAAGAGGTTTCTGGTTACCCCAGGCCCTTCCAATCAACAGGCTTAAAGTATGGTTTATGATCCTGAGGCTGCTACTGTGATTGGAACGGTCGACACTGGAGCCTGAAGTCTGCGATGCCGGGATGGGCAAGAGGCCGTAAATGCCTCGTGGGTGGGCGGGCTGCCACCCTGCTCTCTCAATCTGTCTCCAGGACGAGGGAATGGGAACGGAGGTAGAATCCCCCGAAGGTGCTTATGAGGGCAAGAATTACATTTGGAATAGCTCATTTGCACATCACACAGAACGAAGGCATTGGTTCTGGCCAAGGCTATGCACATTTCACATCATCATTACTGAGGAATCACCACTCACACGTTTCCTGGTTATTTCAGGAGGTATGATTGTGGTTTTCCATTCTTCCCTTTTTAAGGCACACGATTTTTCAGCAGTGATCCCAGCACTCATAGCATTTAAAGTACATTAACTTCTATTAATGTTTAAATACCACTTTTCATGCAGCTTCATTGGCCCTCATCTTCCCTTCTAGACCCCCCAAAATTATCAACTCAGAATCTGACTAGTAAAACAATAACGTCAGCTCAGGCCCTTTGTGTTCAAACCATGGCACGGATAGATGTGAGGTTAAAAATAGAAAAAGAAGCTATTCTAAATAAGACCATGAGTCTCCAAGACACTTTTCTTTAAAACAATTTTATTTATGTTTGGAAATAAGAGAGTGAAACATACGACATCGCAGCTACTGCCTGAAGGAAGTCATTTACTGGCTCTGGGACAAGGTTCAGCAAGATCTTTCTTACAATTCATTAAGGATACCCTTAGGTTATACATGTTCGGGAAATGTAGGTGCTTTCGCAGTAATCATCCCGAATTATCCAAATAAAAATACTGTTTCAGTCTTTGTTCTGGAGTCTCTATATGAAATATAATCTTCTCTGAAACAAATGTCTACCCTTTACTCTCCTCCATCACTGCACCTCAGAGTATGTGAACGTTTACAGATCATTGTGTCAGTTGTTTTCCTTCACACAGAGCTGGGATGGGGTGCCTCCTGAATACCGTCCCTAGGGTTTCCAAAGCTTTTGTGCGGCTCCCTGTAGAACCTAGACAAATTTTCTCTCTGAAGAGCCCATGAGATGAAAGATCTCAAACTAAAACCTCAAGATGTGGGAAGTATGGTGCTCGTATCTGACTCTCTCCAGTAAAATCCCTGCTTGGAGACATCCACTCCAAATGCCTCTAAGGAAACAGAGCACCTGATCAGAATGAGGAAAACAAAATGCCACAGTGGCTGGCTGAAATGCAGAGAACAGCAGCCTAGCCTGGACCTAGGTGCCAACTGAACACAGGGACCCAGAAAGGTCTGCAAAGCAATGCCCCTCCCCCATCTTGTCCCACAGAAGGTGCTAGCCCACGTTGATCTCATAGAACGGTGATTCCCCAGGAATGCTTGTGCCACAGCAGTACCGGCATCCCATGGAAACTGTTAGAAATGCCAGGTTTCAGGCCCACCTCAGACCTATTAAATCAGAAACTCTCGGGGTGGCCCAGAAATCTGTGTTTTCACAAGCCTTCTAGGACTTGTGGATACAAAGTCAAGTGTGTAGGAGCACCTGGGTGGCTCAGTTGGTTAAGCGCCTGACTCTTGATCTCAGCTCAGGTCATGATCTCCGGGTTCCTGAGTTCAGGATTCTCTCTCTCCCTGCACCCACCGGTGCTCGTGCCTGTGAGTGCACGTCCTCTCTCTCTCTCTCTCTCTCAAAATAAATAATTTTTTTTAAACCACAAATATTTAAAAAAAGTCAAATTTGTAAACCACCATTACAGGACTAATTAAAATCACCATAGTATGGTCTCTCTTCCAGGCCTTATTTATAATTGGAGAATGAGAGATCTTTTCCTCCTCCAAAAGAAATGTCAAGAAATCAGCAGGTCAAGGAATGTCACAAGGACATTTGGGGGCTTTTCAAGGCCCAATTTACCACCACTCCTCCCTGTTCATTTCAGCTTTAGGGATTTTGATCAGGGACACCAACAGAGGGAGAGGACAGAACGTCAGAAATGGATCCACTCCACCCCAGAGCCAGGTATATGCTGGATGGCCTGCTGCTACAGAAACATCACTTCCAAATAAGCAAGGAACACGAATAGTAATTGTAATGAACCATACAGATCAAGAAAACCCGCCACATTGTCTCCAACAAAACTAAGCCACCACTAAACCTTCACAGCTTTCCCAAGCTAGTGGCCATTTATGAGAGACCACACAAAATTCAACAATATGTTAGTCCATACATAAGTTTAAACTTCAGAGCAAATGCTTTTCAATCACTAAAACTCTTGGCTACTTGTAGAAAAAGAACATTTTAACAAATTTTTCCCCTAAAATGAATTTTCAATCCTCTGATAGAGACCCATGGTCTATTCTTCGGCAACACAGCCACGGATTTTTTAATCGAGCGCTAGGAATCTTTCCATTAAAAAAAAAAAAAAAAAAAAAAAAAAAAAAAAAAAAAAAAAAAACAAACCTCATTCACAAAGCTTCAGAGTACAGCCACAGGTTGTTCGGATTTTGCTTCCCAACACAGTTCAAATCTCAGAAGATGAGACTTTATAAAAGCAGCAGCGACAACAAAAAGCATTCCACAGAAGGTCTAGAAGTCAACTGTAGAGCAGGAAGGACCTTTCTGCACAAAATACGTGTCCGTAACTGGCCTACGGCCACCAAGCCTCGCCTGTCTTTCTGAAGCCAAAGGAAAACTCAGGCACTATTGGCCTATATCATTATTAGTCACTTGATACTCAGGAAACCAGTTCTGTGTCTTCTGGGACAACTGTCCTCATTGGAAAGTGGGTACTGCTGGGTAATCAACATTATTTTGCTCTGCCTTGATTTGTAGTATCATATCCTCGTTGCTATTTTTTCAGCCTTAAAACCTAGTCATCGTAAATCTAGCTGCTTCTATCTTTAGTGGTAATTAGCATTAGTCATAAGCCAAAAAATGATTCCACATAAGAAATAAAATAAACACAACCCTTCTTACCTTTCATGCCAAACTTGGAGTGTCTTGCCAACTTCAGCAGAAACAGCATCACCAGCAGACAAAATCCCACCACAGACGCAATGACCACCACAGCATAGACCTAGAGGAAAGGAAGGGAGGGCTGTTATGACCTTGCTCATTGGTTCCTTACGTCCAGATGATGGTGATAATGACGATGACAAGTTCATATTTGCTACTTGTCCTGCCAGGAACCTTGTGTCTATCAACTCCCTTATTCCTCAACAACCCTACAATGGAATATGTAGGTCTTATTACTATCCTTACTTTACAAATGAGAAAATATAAGTTAAAGCTTATAAAAATATCAGTGTAATTGATATTATGGAGACATAGAGATACATTACTCTCTCCCCATCTGCCTATCCTCCTATCTGCCTTACCTGAAGAGAGAAGAGAAAGTATATGAAATTTGAATGACAAACTACTGTTATTTCTGAAGCGATGAAAGATACAGTGGGGTTCATTTTGTTATGCCCTCTACCATTGTGCATGTCAGAAAGTTGTCCGTAACAAACAGATTTTTTTTTTCTAAGTTGGCTGTTGTGGCTCTTAGAAACCAGAGTCCCCTGGAGCTGTGACTAGGCCCAGAAGGGAGCAGGAGGGGCCCCTGCCGGTGAGTTTATTTGTGAAAGCTCATTAAGTTGCAGACTTATGATCTGTACACATTTGTGCATGTACGATAGAGGTCAATACAAAGTTTTTTTAAGCCTAAAAACGTAATTCTAACATGTAGATTATACAAGTAGAGAGAGTAGTTGCAGATCTACGTGAATCCTGCCACCACCCTAAGCGAGATCACAGAGGCACAAGTGTGTAATGTTAATGAAGTACATATTAACATTTGAGGAACCAAGATAGAAGCAGGATGATGCATCTCCTTCCATTCCTGCTGCTCATCCCAAGGTCCTGCTCCCAAAAAACGTGTGACTTTCTAAACCAGGAAGTGGCCAATTTTGGCTGTAAAGGGTCAGACAGTAAATGCTTTAGGCTTTGGGGGCCATAGAGTTTCTTTTGCAACCTTTCAACTGTGCTGGTATCCAGTGAAAGCACCCATAGACAACATGTAAGCAAATGGGCATGCCTGGGTGCCAATAAAACTTTATTTACAAAAACATATGACTGTAGTTTACAGACTCCTTTTCTAACCTGTCTTGGGGGTCCACACTTAACTAAATGCTTAAGCTTCTTTGTTGCATTTAATCTGCATAATAATCCTTAAGAAAGATACTATTATCTCCATCAGTGGTAATCACTGATGCCGTTTACCGAACATTTCTGTTTCTCCCTGTGTTTCTCTTTGTAGGATTCACTGCCTGGCTTCCTCGTGGTAAGGTGGGTACACGTGACCAGTTCTGGCCAATGAGGTAAGACTTGCATCCCTGACAGTGGAGGATTCCACTGCTACTGTGAGATCTTAGACTGAGGCAGTGCTTCTCAACCAGGGATAATGTTGCGCCCAGGGGACATCTGTCGATTTGGGATCATCACAAGTGGGGGAGGGTGCTGCTAGCATCTAGTGGGTCAAGACCAGGGATGCTGCTAAACATCCCATAATGCCTAACAGCCCCCACAACAAAGAGCCATAATAATAATGGCATAATGCCAAGGCCAACAACCCTGCTCTCACTGCTTCTTTCTCTGGGCCTTCATAAATGCTAACTTTCCAAAAGTAGCTTCCTGTCCACCTAGTCTTAGAATGAGGACAAGGCTGACAGAACTCCCAGTGAATACACACAATGAAGCAAGAAAAGAACGTTTGCTGTCTGAAGCCACCAAGATTTGGGGATTTTTGTTACTGCACAGCTTATGCTGACTGATGTACCCACCTCAGAGTGAGAGGCAGTACAGAGTAGAGATTAGGAATAGGAGTTCCTCGTGAGTTTGAAATTTAGATTCACCACTTATTAGGTGCTTGGCCTCAGGATTACTTAATCTCTAAGCATCTCATGCTCTTCTTGTGTGAAACAGGGAATATAATCACTCTACCTAGCAGGTTCTTTAAATCCGTAGTGAGTTAATGCAGATAACGGGTTTGGAACAGAGTCCACCACAATAGATAAGAAACTGATTTGGTTATGATGATGATAAAACAGGTTTATAAAAAATTAAATACGCCACCCAAGATCACATCTTCCAAGCTTGGGATTCGAATTGAAGTCTGTCCAAGTATAAAACCTGTGATTTATCCATGATTTACTCTTTATACTATTTCTCCAAAACACATGGCTGAGAGGGAAGGCAGGATAATCAAAACACATGGCTAATCCTCCCACGACACCTTCTCTGATGTCAGATGGGGACAGCGTTAAAGAAGGCACAGGAAAGGGCACGTGCCAAGGCCTTGGCCAGAATGGAACAAAGGTGTGAGCATTCTCTCCTCTGGCACTGCGGTTGTAAGTGGCTCTCCCACAGAACACCTCTGTGAGTGTCTGCATGCAGACTTAACTCTGTCTCTGCAGCCTACATACAAACAGAACGGCTGTGATTCCTAAAAGCTTAATTATGGATCAACGTGCTCTAACTAAGACTATTTCCCTCAAACGTACCTAATGATTTGGGGTGTTTTTTACATGTTCATTTTATTTTTGAGAGAGCACGAGCTGGGGAGGGGCAGAGAGAGAGGGAACAGGGTATCCAAAGATGGGCTCCCGCTGCTGACGGCAGCGAGCCCATCAAGGGGCTCAAACTCAGGAACTGTGAGATCACGGCCTGAGCCAAAGTCAGATGCTCAACCAACTGAGCCACCTGGCGCCCCCGGGGTGGGTTTTTCATCTTTATTTCTAACTATCATTTTCATGGGAAAGAGCTCATAGTATTATAGCTCTAAGTTTCTCTATCTTATTATTAAATTTCAAACTTCTACAGCTAGAAGGGGAATAACTGCAAAAACAAGTTCAAATCCTATTTTAAAGATAAGGAAATGGGGATGGACAGATGTTAGGGGACTTGCCCTAAGCCCCCCCCCCCAAGCTCTCTGGGGGACCAGAGACAGTCTCTGACCCACTTTGGAAAGTACTTGACTGTCATGCAGAAGACTTGGCCCCTATGTTCATAGGGCACTTTGCCTTTACCAGCTACAAGAGGTAACAGATGCTTCGCTTCCGCAAGCCTCCATTTCATTTGTACGTGGGGATAATAGTACCTGCCCTGACTCCTCTATTTTGTTACAGAGTGTTTAAGTCAACCTGGAAAATGGGAATGGGTTCTACTGCTGGGAATCAGTTAGTGATCTACTAGCAACTATTTAAACCTACTGAAGCAACTCTAAATGCAAAGACTCCTTTAATAAACAAAGGATCCCATGACAATGAGAAGAATTGTTTTCCCAACAATGAATTGTTTGATGAAGTTTCATGTACCATGCATATGTTGGGATGTGGGTGGTCTTTATGTGGGAGACAAGTAGGGGTAAATGTATTTGTTTGTTTAGTTGGCTGGTTAGTTGTTTGGTTGGCTGGCTGGTTTGCGGGCTGGTTGGTCGGTTGGTTGTTTGGTTGGTTAGTTGATTGGTTGGTTGATTGGTTGGTTAGCTGCTTTTTATCTGAGGGTATCTCTCAGCGTAAAACAAGGGGTCATTCCACTCAAAAAATCCAGCAAGGTGCATGAGGAGCACTTGTTGCACCAGAAAGGAGAGTGTCTGAGGCTGTCTTCCAAATGCTCTAACACCTTTAACTTTTCTATCAGTTCCCTGACTCTGAAACTCTCCTAATCTAACAATCCTCCCTGTGATCAGGGACTGTTCATGTATCAAATACCGGATCAACATTTAATTTTTACATTTTCTTTAAAGTCTATAAAGCATTTTCTTGCACCTCTCACACAGATTTCCAGGGACCTCAGGTGGACCTGTAATGTACCAACTTTCAACAAAGATGACTTTCACTGATTTTGCCTTCCAGCGGCCCTACTGTGGACAGTTCAGCCATCACTGAGATATGCCAAATAGGGGCTTAAATTTCTCATTTTCGTCTCAAAAGAGAAAACTGAAGTTGACACGTAATTTTTGGTAACTGGGATACAGACATACCTGTGGGGCTAACACACACTCCTTGGATTCCTTATGTACACAAACAACTTTCTCAAACCACGAAACATTAAGTGGTTTGGTATGAGAATAAACTGAAGCGATTGCACAAGGCAGGAAGCAGAAAACATTCTGCAGCTGATTTATTTTTCCTTGCTATTTCAATGCATTGCATATCGTCATCTCTGGAAATGTGTGTGTGTGTGTGTGTGTGTGTGTGTGTGTGTGTCTCCATGTACTTACTAGATATGCATATTTTGAGTCACAGCTGAGATACATCTGTTACGAGCCTCCAGCTCCCACCACCAGGGCCCTGGTCTAAACATACATCACATCTCTTTATTACCACTCCAGACCCTCACTAATCACACTGCCTCCAATCTCACGGTTCTGCAACCCATTCCACAGCGTTTGCCATTACTCTGATCAGTCTACAATTTTTACTATCTCCTAGGTGCCAGATACTATTCGAGGGACGAGGGACACAGCTGTGAAAAACACTGACCAGGTTGCCTGGACTTAGAAAGTCACTAGAGAATCTAGGGAAGGGAAAAAAGACATTAAACAAGTAAACAATAAACAAGGGAATTAAAGACAATGACAACTGCTCAGAAGAAAATGGAACGTGGCAGCGGCTGCCTAGTAGCTAAAGCCATGGGATGACTGTGGGGAAGTGTGTGTCTTAGAGAGGGAACAGCGAATGTAAAGGGTGTGAGGCAAGAGTAAGCCTGGATGGAGCATGTGGAAGATCATTAAGACAGGTGGTAAAAACAAGGGCAGGATGGAAGGTGAAGACAGAGACACAGACACAGACAAGATATGCAGGGCCTCTTTTCTTTCACTTGCATTAGGAAGGCTCTGAGAATGACAATAAAAGTGACCTGATGTGTGCTCTTCACAGGTCACTCAGGCTGCTGTATGGAGAAAGGGCGGGAGATCACAAGATGGGAGAGGAGGGACGGGTAAAGGCCACGAAGGTCATCCAGGAACAAGCAACCACGGTAAACTTCCTCCTTGAAGGGCCAGATACTAAATATGTCCCACTTTGCAGACCACACAGTCTTTGCTGCGGCTACTCTAGCCGTCACTCTAGCACAAAAGTAGCCACAGACAATATGTAAATGGGCATGACTGTGTTCCAATAAAACTTTATTTATGGACATTGACATATGAGTTTCAGACAATGTTCATGTGTCACGAAATATCATTCATTTGTTTTCAAACCACTTAAAAACGTAAAAGCTCTTCTTAGCCTGCCGATGGTACAAAAGCAGGTCGGGAGCTGGACTTGGCCCACAGGCCATAATTTGCCAACCCCAACGGGGTTGGCCTGGGCCTGTGGCAGTGGAGGTGGGAGATACAAATGGTTCTGGAGTTTATAAGGAGGCGGAGCTCACGGCACAAGGGACTGGGTGCTCGTGACAAGTGAGGAGAAAAATGAAGGAAGCTGCTGGCGTTGGGTCTCAGCAGCTGACAGATCAACCCCACAGGAGCCCCGGGGCTCACGCGCGCCCCCTTCAGGCTCCTCCCTGCATAGTCAATCTAATCCCCTGGCTCTGTGTTTTAAAACCACATGACCTGGCACAGCCTCCACTCCAACCTTGCCCCTGACAGCCACCTTTATGCTTCACACACCTTACCTTCCGGTCAAAACCATTTTCCGGGCTGTGAGCTCTTGTTCACACACCCAAAATGCCCTTTCCCTTTGGTTCCTGTCGGTCTACATGCCCGCCATCCTGCACAGCTGGAAAATGCCACCTACCCCACAAAGACACCTCTGGCTCGCCCAGCGGGAAGGAGCCCAGTGCCCGCCCCTCTATTTCCATTGCTCGCATCCCATTGCTGCTCTACCTGAATTGTAGGTGCTGGTATTTCATTCACATCTCAGGGCTCCGACTGAAGTATAAACTCCAGAAGCACAGACCTGATATTCACTCACATTTTTATATCTGCTCACTGCCAGTCGCTTCCAGAACCTACTAGAGTCCTTAAATTTAGTGGGCAATGAGACTTTTATTAAAATACTGGATAAGACAGGTGCGACGGTGTGGGAGACAGGAATAATTACACATGTCCCTAAATGAGACACTGCCCAGTTCACTAGAAAGTGATAATCTTTTAAAGGACAGACATTTAAAATAAGAACCACGAGTAACCATAGTGGCACATGAAAGGGGAAGCAAGGAAGTCAGAGGCTATCTAGCACGTTTATCACTTCTCTTAATTCTTCCAAACGTCAACACCCAATCCACACTGTGCAGTGAAAATGTCGTGTGCTGAAGTAGTTCCATTCCTCCAACATTTAAGCATCTCAAGTGCTCAGAGCCAATCTAAGAAACAGCGACTGATGGCCACTCACCGAAAGATGTTCCCGACCGCTTTTGTCCGCCACATCTGTGGAAGGGATTTCGTTACTTCTGTTCGTGGTGTCCCCAATGTCATTTGCTGCAGTCCCATAATCTTAAATTGGAGAAATGGGAAAGAGAAGGAATCATGAAGTTGTCACTAGGCTACCAACAAACATGAGGTCACAGTATGACCCAGAAAAATGAAGCAAGACAAATCATAAACATAAGATTCCAAGCCACTGTCAGCCGGCTGGGGGATAGGGTCGGGGGGGGGAGGGGCGGTGCACGGAACACGACCCAGCTCTTGGGTTCAAGCAACCGTAGTGCTGAGATTGCATAATGCTCACATTTTACACAACCCAGATCTTTCCATCACTGGTTTGGCAGTCAAATTCTAAACCAGGTTTAGGGTTTTATTTTGTAGGTAAGAATATACCCTTTTTTTGATGAAGTATAGAATATAAATATGAAAAGGAATCGATCATCAAAGAGTCATACATTTATTGATCTGGAGGGGTCTTCAGATATGGAATCTAACTGTCAGCTTTATGGCCAAAGAAAGTCATCTGAGCAGTTAAATGACCAGTCTAAGGTCAACTGGCAAGAAGGTGGCAGAACCTCAACAGGAACCAGCCTTGACATCAGCAAACACTGATTCCAGGGAACATGCACCTTATTTGGGTAATAGGCAACCACTCAAGTCGGGCTATGGACTGACTGAGCATTGACGTGAACTTGGGTACATGTAAGAACTTTTGTGAAAAGGTCTGACTGGGGGCACCTGGGTGGCTGAGTCGGTTACGTGTCTGACTTCAGCTCAGGTCATGATCTTGTGGTCCGTGAGTTTGAGCCCTGCACCAGGCTCTGTGCTGACAGCTCAGAGCCTGGAGTCTGCTTCCGATTCTGTGTCTCCCTCTGTCTCTGCCCCTCCCCCACTTACACTCTGTCTCTGTCTCTATCTCTCAAAAATGAATAAATGTTAAAAAAAATTTTTAAATAAAAAAAAAGGTGTGAACTGTCCACATTTCAGTTTCAGAATTAATAGATAGGGAACTGCACCAACAGTGTTTAGCATTGTGAGAATATGTTCTCACATCACCATGTCTCAAATGTCATTGCCATCTTCCGAATCAATTTTAGTCTACACAGATCAGGATGGAAATAAACAATTGGTTGTGTTGTGTTTGTGTGTGTGTGTTTGTGTGTGTGTGTGGGGGGTAGTGAAAGTTTTTATTAGTAATATTACATGTAAAGAGTCATAGAACATTTTTGATAAACTTACTGCAAATAATGTTGCTTATCAACGTTTGGTATTTTTATTCTAAATAGATCTGGTGACTGCAATTTCCATCTTACACAAACAACCTCATTAAGTCAGCCCCAGCCACACTTTCCTAGGGAGAACTATCATGCTGGCCTTGGGGCAATAAATTTAAATTATATTTTGATGAGCCGAGTGTTCCTTTGAATGTGAATAAAAAAGTAACAGAAAAAGCATTTATTTTCTGCTTGCTGTTCCAGTCTTACTCCAAAACTACTATTACCATTTTCATTTTAAATAGACTAGAACATTAATTTCTACCAAACACTAAGAGATATCATCTATTTGCTAATTTTTGACCTCTTTATATTCTAATGAGCCACTCATACAAAATCAAATCATTAAAGTCTCTATAGTTTGATATCACGATATTTTTTGGCCCAAAGATCCAAAGTGGGACCGGAAGCCAATGGGAAGATAGCATTTTTAAAGTCTTGAACTTACTGGAAAGGAGTCCAAAACATTATTTTAAAATGTAAAATCACAATTCAAATATACCTCTCTGTGATACAATTTGAGATACTCTTTCTTTAAACTGAATGGGGACAAATAAAAACAAAAATATGCAAATCATATGCACAAAATCATCTGAACAACAACTTGAAGGAAATACAGTTTAACATGCATAAAACAGGTAAAGATAATATGATTCTCTAATTAAAATTAGCTCAAGTTAAATACACACACGTAACAAACATACAAATATAGGATCACTTTATAAAAATAAAATGTCGATGTGTACATAAAACTAAAGAATCGACTATTGAATATTTAATGACATTTTAACCAAGGTAACTTTTAATCAGTCTTAAATTTTGAGACAAGTCTTGAAATTGAGCTTGCCACTTCCCCCAAACAGAGGCAAGGCCTCCTGGTCATGAAGGAGGTCTGGAAATCTGTTAAAGATGGATTTTTCACCCCTAGTCAAACATCCCTGGCATCCCATTAAATAGCAAAGTACAGAGGAGAGATCCAGCTAAAAGCTAATGCAGTCCACCTTCTGGATTCTCCCTTTCCACATTCCTAAGAGAACCCCATTTTATTCAAGGCTTCACTGACATTCTCTGAGGAAGCCGGTCTAAACTACAGGGATGGCTCCAGTTAGCCAAGGGTTAACCATTCCCTCTTAGCAGCAATGGAGGCAAGAATGGACCATGACCCACTGGGTCGTGAATCAGATTCAAGGAGGACTGATGGAGATTTCTGGGAAAGGTCCCTTTCTTCTGGAATGCTTTCAGAAGCTCTTCCATTTCTCCCAACAATGCGAGCAACAGCGGCCCCTCTGCCGGCATCATCTTAAAACCATGAGGGAAACCAGCCTTCCGCGAAGTGGGCACAGTGTGCAGGGGGGGTGTAAAGATGAAAAAACTTGGGTACCTGACGACATGGTTGAGCTGCTGATTTAACCAAACCTAAAAACATGCCCTACTTTTGAGGTTCCTGTTTCTGAGCCAAACTTCCTTATTATACAAGAAACACAATTCTGAATTGGGTTTACTGTCAGAGCCAGAAACTGATACACCTCCCTTTTCTTGGTAGTCATGGCTTTTAAACAGGTAATTAGTTCCCAATTATAGAAACAAAATGTCTGTTACAGTGGAATGGATTCACTACTTCCAAGAACAGAGCATGAGAGAGAAAATGCTATTTACAAGCACTGTAAATACCAAGGGAAAACAGCCATCAATATTGAATGATTTTTGAAATATTGTGGCCTATGTAATGCTTGAAGTGTATATTTAACTGAGCTTAAAGGTCCTCTTTTAGTTGATTCATTTCATCTCAGACAAACATTTTGAAACAAACACAAAATAAAGACAACAGGATAGCTACCTTCATAAATTACATCAGGATAATTTGGGTTGGCACCTAAAAGGCAAAACAAAGCAAAGATTCGTAAGTATGCATTCAGAGTTAATACTAAGTATACCCACTAAAATGGGTTAAATATATATCGAGGATTTTACAGTTGAATAGGTTGTTTTATAGGATGGGTACACAAAACCTGAAACTCTTGGTTTGCTCCTTGTTAGCTGTTTCCCTCCCCAGTCCCCAAAGCCCCCATCCCTTCAAAACAAGAAAAGAAAAGAAATCACTATAGCTGGACAAACTTCAGCGATCAATGCGTTATGACCGTTTCTATTATACCATTGGCCATTTTCACTGCATTTCTGGTACTTTTTTTCATTCCAGGGACAGACCATCTCCACACCATGTTCAACAACAAAAGATAAAACCTCTGGTGGTTTGGGTGTTACTTGCAAAGTGTATTTTGGAAGGTCTATTTGCTTTCACAAACATGTTATTAACCAGCCTGAAATAATGATACTAATGCACAGTTTTGCTCTCTACTTGGTGTTTGGGGGGGGGGGGTTGCCAAGGCTTAATAAGTAAACCTTTTCTTTGCCTTTAATATAACACAGAAAAATATATATACTTTCTCTATTGAAATGATTTATGTGTAAGAGATCACAAATAAACGTTACGTTTGTTATGTCAGGGACAAATGCAAAAGCATAGCCACTTAATTTGGGGGTGGGGGGAGATTCTTTAGGCACCAAGACGATAGGAATACTCAGTTTTAAAATATTCCCGTGAAAATTTGCAAAAACGTGTTGATTTTTTTTTAAATCTACATCAACAGGAACTGGTGACAAAACCAGCTGTTCCTTACTCTCCAATCAGAACGAACTGGGTCTCTACATGAAAGCCTACTTGGAAATAAAATTAAAACTTGATACAACCTTTACGTGATTAGGAAATAAATTTCCAATTCTACTTCCTCTCCTTTTAGCCTTCACGTACTTACTTGTAAACTATAAAGCTTATTCAGGTCTCATTTCATTTCTAAACCCTTAGCAGAAAAGTATCATTTCAGATAAAGGGGAACTTGAGCCAATTTTCTGTTCGTGTATTAGCTAGGAAATAATCATAAGTTTGTCTAAATGAAGAACCAGATAAACACGGCCCTAACATTCAAATCAGAATTTCAACACAGTTCAACTCACAGAATCTGTAGTTTAGCAGGGGAAACACTAAGTAGATGGTTGTGCACGTCAAGTCAGGGATGCTACATACTGCTGAGCATTCCATGCTTGGTATAACTCTAGGGGGCGCCATTTAGACTATACTCTATGTGAACCGAAATTGTGCAGCGCACAACCAGTGCCACATATGAGTTGGCCCTGAGTCAATACATGCAAAGTCATCGATTCCAGTATATTTCAATAGTATTTTGAGTTTCAGTACCTCCAACACCACTTCAAAGTACTCTTGAGTTACAATTTGTTAATATGTATTGTCAGAATTGTTTGTAGTGGATATGCTCTTCCTGAGAAGGGCCTTGAAGGCTGCCTTGCAATTTGAGGGATAATTCGGTGGATAAAGCAGCATAAAATCCCAATGGTAGCCCTGGTGATGTCATATGCAGGGCACCCACCCACCTGCAGAAATCCTTTCCCTTTGCAAAGTCCTGGGAACAAAGGGTGTCCTATCACTGTGACTATTGCATACCCCTACTGAAGGAAAGGTTATGTAATCCCAAGTGAGCAAGTCATTCTTTGAACTGCTCGGTAATCCATTACTTAAGAAGATCCCACTCTGTGCCCTCAATATACAGGTCTGCACCTGCAAGGGTACCTGTCCACCAGAGTCCACACTCGCCGTCTAGACCTCACTTCAGGACCCAGGACCCAGATTTCCTTCCCCACACACCACACACACACACTTCCGAGGACTAGCTAGCTTTTTCTCCGCATCTGTCAGCCCACAGGTGGCCACACCATCAGTCTGAGCACCTTCTGACCCAAGACCCAGGAGAGGGGTGAGGGCCGAGCAAGGGCAGGTGAGCTGAGGTGTCCATATGCACCCTCTTTGCCTCTCATCTACCTCTCACCATATAATTGGAGGCACAGGGCAGGGGCTATGACCAGGAACCAGCTCTACCAAAACCACTATGTTCCAGCATGGAAGTCCAAGAATCAGGGAGAATTTGATCTTCAAACCTACCCTTCCAGGTCATTATAAACATGTATTTTCCAAGGTAGATAGATAGAACCTATTTGATTTAGCAATTCATTAACTTGACTCATATTTTTAAAGTTATTGAATGCAAGTATACAGACTTTCATTTGTACTACGTTGACCCACCATCTCGGACTCTCTGAGACTGAGGACATAGTCTGTCCAAGAATGGGGGCTTTCCCCAGACATAGGACTTTTGGTGTAAAAACTAGGAGTAGTCAGTCACCCCGATTTGTCCTAAGGTTCTCAGGGACCCCACAGAGACCACCTTCCTTTACACATGCAATCCCGTAAGAAAGTAAAAAGACTGAGGATTCAGAGTCAGATTTATGTAGACCACACATTGGAAGGGCTGCAGGGACTGTGACTGATATACAGGTGTAATCAGCCTTGTCAGAGAAAGGGAACCCCCCTATTACTCACACAAGGCCCCCAGGAACATCCAGAACATCAGATCAAGTCAAGGCAGCAGATATCAGGTATAGAAAAAGGATCTGGGGTGGGCTCAAAAGTAAACAGGTTAGCCCATAACCTGGAAAACTGATCTTTTTCCAGACTTAGAATTCGTATCGGTGGATGCCTTTCCTACCAAGTTCACCAGCAAAACCGTTAGGTCACATCTACACTGTCAGAAGACTACTATATTTTCCTAACTTCATTTTTTCGAGATGTATGAGAAGTACTGTCACTTTCCTTTCATTGTCAGGAATACTCAAATTTAGCGCAAGATTACAAAACTCACGAGAAGACAATGTGGGAGGAACAATAAGGTGTTCCCCCTCCCCCCCGCCGCCCCGCCAACCATACCATACTGTGTCTAATGAAGGTCCACTCGCTACAATAAAGAAATGTCTCTGTGTAAAAAGGTTTAAGAAGCTGGTGCCTGGGAAGATACACAGACCTAAAGTTTATGAAAAACAAGGGTCACGGCACTCCAGCTAATCCCAGCTCATCAAACAGAATTTTGCTTCTAGCAACTTCTCAGTCAAGTTAACCTCCCGTGGTGTTTATACTCCAATTGTAGGGCAGTTGTTAACATGATGTTAAATGCAGACATGGGACAAAGTTACCGCTTCTTTCTTAGACTTCTGGCAATGGTCATATTGGGAAAATATCCTGCCATTTTTAAGTCTAATTTCTAAGTGGCTTAAATATGTTCATTATATATCATTATGTATAAGGGTAAAAATGCCTGTTTGAGATATTCAGGACTAAAAGGTGGACGAGGAAAGGCAAACAAAAGCTGGCCCAGAGAGAGTGAATGACTGGTGAATGAGTAATGTGCTTGCTTACACGGGGCATCTGAGCAGAGTTCTGCTTCCTTGAATACCATCCCCATAGCTCATCAAGCAAGAAATCTCAGATTTAGGCAGCAGGAGGCGGCATTAAGCCCTAAAGCTTCATGTTGAAAACCACCGGAATAAAATATGGGGATTTCCAGAATAAATAAATAAATAAATAAATAAATAAATAAATAAGGAAACTCAGGGACTCCATCAGCTACCATTCCAGACAAGCAGAAGCCCTTTCTACCCCCGCCCCCCCCATGCCCGTGGCTCCAGTGTGGAAACCCAGCGTACTCCCCAGCCAAAGAAAGGGCGCCATGGCTTCAAATATGTTTGCTCATGTTCAGATATTTTCTGAAGAGTTTGTGGGTAGGCAGGGCCTTCCCTCATTGTCTTGGCCCTTGACCTAAGGCATGTTGTCAGGATTTGGGGACCACTACTAACAGGTGCAGCCCGAAGCACTCCCAGTGAAAACCCTGGGGACTGTCCTGTGGCCACACGCACTCCAGACAGAGCTCCAGATGGCGCGTGTGATGTCTGCACCTCCACAAGACAGACCTCAGGGACGTTAAAGGTTTCTAAGCATGGATGATACTGTCACTTTCTCCCCAACAATATCAAACCAAAGCCCCTCACCATCCTCCATGCTAAACTGCTTTTAAAGAGAGGGCTTTGGAGCTTCTATATTCTAATCTGTTATAGCTCATGAGTAAATCTTCTGACTCCATGTAAGTCTTTATGAGTAAAACTCCATGGCTTTTTAACTGTTAAGACTCCACTATTAAAGGAAAAGCACACATGTAGGATAAAGAAAAATTGTGGAAGGGCAGGTAGGCTTCCCTTTCCATCCCACTGCAAAGATGGAAGTAATGATGGAGGCCAGGAGACACATCTGTTTCCTTCCTTTCAGCGTTCAGTTTCTCTCTAATGTCTTAAAAAAAAAAAGAGAGAGACTTCTCTCTCAAATCTATTTTCAGACTCTGCTTAGTGTGATCGTGAAAAATATTTCAAAGGATTCCATACGATAAAGAAATAGCAAATGATTCGTTCTTTTCAAATCAACCGTCCCGTCCTTGGTTTGTCAACAGTGTTGTGTAACTCGTGGAAGTCCCTCCTTCTGACTTCCAGATACCTCTCCTCTTCCTTTTCTGAACGGCAGGGCCCCAACACACTAGGGGTTTGGATGTCCGGGTTTCATTTTTGGCTGAACCACTAACGTGCTATGCAGCATCAGGGGGTCTCTTCACTTTTCCTGTGACAAAGGAATGTTCCATACCTCAGGAGAGGATAACAGCATTGGCTCTGGCAACCCGTCAGGAGCTTTGGGAAGCATAATTAATTAACATTAGTACTCTTGAGACCTAAAGAACTATTTAAGTATAAATCTTAATTATCACGATTATTAAGAGCCTATAGCCAAACCATAGTCTTCTCGGTTATTTAAGACAGAAAAGCAGGTCAAACTTTCCTTTCCTTCCGCTCCCAGGACAAGAAACGGGTCCCGACAAAGGGCCAGAGAGCGAGTCGTGGGGGGGCTTTATATTTTCTTAAAGTGTAACA